CCTAAAGTCCCCCTAAAGAAACAATAAGAATATCCATGAACGTTCAATCAAGCGAATTGAGCCTTAGGGTTTCATAGACCGGCGTGCGCAAAGGTGTTCATTCCTGGTACGATTGCTAGTACTTGCTTTCAGCTTCCTAAGCCCTAAACCCTACAAACTAAAACTCAAACCGCGCTTACTACAATCGTCATCGGTATTATTGTCGCGCCTTTGTACGCCTTACCCGGGCGCCCCAGCAGCGCAGGCAGATGCCAATCGCCGGCGTTCAGTGTTGTGCCCAGGTTTGGTGTTGAGGGTTTTGGGATTACGTAGTGGGGTAAGCAAGGAACAAGGGAATATATTGTATAAGGACCCTCTAGAGATAATTATATTGCCTGATTGCCTTCCAAGCTCCAGTAAATCTAGGGAATTATGGAAGGACCGTTGCTTTACGAAGATTGCATCCTGCAAAGGTGTTGCACACGGCAGCAGGATCAACATTCTGCAACATTTTAAAGGCAAGTTGGTAGATGAGTACTTGTGGGCCTACAATCCCCATGAAGTCCTTCTTTGTATACTTTGTTCAGGGATATATATTTATATATACAGTCATATAGGTATACATATGCTTGCTTCGGGCTAGGTAGGTAGCGCAATCCTAGGTTGTAACCAGTTGATATGCTATGGTATTGGTATCTTTGATTTTTTACTGTTGATCGCATTACTTTTTTTTCGTAATCTGCCTACGTAGGTATATCCTTACTGTAGTGTAAACGTTTGAGAAACTCCAATTTCCGAGGTCTCGCGCTCGCGGTCCATCTCCTCGCGCACGGCCAGGAGGCGAACTGCAAACCTGAGTGCAGCAGTTAATGTAGGCCCAACATTATAGTAATAACGGAGAATCAACAGGCAAGGAATGAGGTTGGTTGCCAATTTTATGGTTCTACCCAGTTCTAGCTTCCTTGTATAAGTCTGGTTTGTTTGCGATCGGCGGATCGCAATGACCATTTTTCAAGATGCATGATATGGAGGTTATGTTGAACACTCGAAGAAGCCAAGATGGCATGGCGGCGTAGGCTCCTGAATCGGAACTCCCGTGTTCTGGGCAGCTACTATCAGACGTGGATGAGATCAGCTGGCCAGGATGTGTTTTCGAAAGGTCGTTGGCCTGGCAGAGGCCGACAAGGTCTAGCAAATCCCGCTCTTCTATGCGGCCGCACGAGGTAATTAGCAATGGCAGGGTTCCCTCTGGACTTCGGGTTGGAGATGAATTTCAGAGATGCGTGGAATGAAGCAGCAATTGGTCGAGTTGCTGCTGAACGTGGAGCCTGCTTGACATCAAGTCACCTCACGGCACAACTCCAGGCACAATGCTAGTAAACTCGCAGCCAGAGCTAAGGCTGACAACACGCAGACGCAAGGCAACTGCCTCGCCTGACTCTGTCGTCCCTGGTGCCAAAAGCCTTGCTTGCCAAATGGGAACTTGAAGAGGACGACAATGAGTCTGTCCTGCCGAGCGAGTCCGTCAAGACAATGGTCGAGAACGAAGATTTTGTAGGATGCAAAGCTGTGCACAATTGCGCCAATCGTCTGCGGCGCTCAGAGCGGGAGTTTGCAGCCGAGCGCATCCATCTCGCTGCAGATCTCGTCAGCATCCCCGTAGTCAATCCAGACGACCGCCTTCGTGACAAAAAGCAGGCAAGCGGCAAGCGCACGTCAGCCTTCACCTTTGCTGCTGTTTCAATCGAAAGTGGACGCGTCGCGGGTGTACGCACGCGCTAGCTCTGCCGAGAAGACTCCGCAGATAGCACACTGTCAGGTTGACAGGCCTCATCAAGGCAAAGGCCGCGGGGGACTGCTGATCAAGGCCGCCAGAGCGAGTGCCAAGCACAAGGGCTCCAGCCGCGAGAAAGTAAAAATGAAGATGTTGGACACGCATGACCCCGTCGTCTATGTTCCCACGATGCACATGCATTGACGGCAATTGCTCACACGTCAAAATCAAGTGGCTCCGCTTGGAGAAAGCTGTCGCGTGAGCTGCACAAAAATGCACGTAAATGTGGAACAACGCGGAACGCTGAAAAACATGTGGCGAAAGCTGAGCTGCTGAGAGATCTTGCTGTCCGTTTGACCTTGTCACCATCCGTTTTTGTCTCAGTTTGATATATCTAGTTGTTGAATATATTTCTCATCGATTTTGTATTCCAATAAAGCCCACTAAGGAACAAATAAGTTCTGAGGAGTTCCGACATGCGTTGTTCTTGTTCTCGGGTTGTTGTGTTTTAAAAGAATGCCCATAGAGAAGTAGACAGACCTCAGAAGGTGTTGACAAGTAAGCAGGCCCCTACAGTAACGTAGCCAAAAGTAGCATGGAACCCCATTGAATCGACGTTAGTCACTTGGAGGGTCAGGTGGGCTAAGTAAGTAGGCCAATACTGCGGATAGCTAAAGTTGTTATGTTCATTACCGGTGGTTAACATACCCTAAAACCTAAACTACCCTAAACCCTACACCCTAAATCCCCCTGACTCCCTAAGGCTACCTGAGGTCCCCAAAACTCTTCTAGTTTGGGTAGTAGTACCTTCACGACAAGGCTGCCCAAATCAAAGTACCGTTGCCATTTCCAACGCATAGGGTCCACACGTGGACATGAGAGGGGAAGTGCTCGTTCTTCAAGACCAGTCCCCAATCAATTTCTCATCTTCACTGCATATACTATACACTTCTGACGCACATCGCTTCTAAACTCCTTAAATGGGGGGGTTATATAGGGGATTATATAGGGGACTGCTGTAGGGGCTATTAAGGGGGATACTAGGAGTTTAGACTATGGCACTCATGAGCCCAAACCTACTCCGCGCTCTTTAGGCACTGCTTCCGTAGAAGGGAAGGCGAGGTGATTTTGCTAGCCCAAGCAAACTTAAGTGGAAGCTGTAGGGGGAAATAGTCCCCCTTAAGTACATAGATTATGGCATTGGGTACTTAATAGAAAGATCCTCATATACCCCCATATTCTATCTACCTTAAGGGGGGCTATATCCCTAGGTTTTGGTGCTCGGCTGTAAGGGATCCGAGCAGGATGTCACCATGTATCTGGTTTATTATATTCTTTTTCAACCCTCCATGTTCTCCGGAGGCAGGCGCGCGAGCAGAAAAGGCCACGGGGTTGTTGAGAACTGGGAGGTCCTGGACCCCAAAAGTATATAAAATAATAACCTGTTGGCCTATTTTTGGCAGTTGTGGGCTATTGTTTTACTAGCATTTTGGGTCCAGGGTTAGGTCTAAGGTCCTGGCCATGGGCTCCTAATGTGAGCTCCTACCTGTCTCCTGGGTCTTGAGTATGGGGGTCCCTCAATTGGGTTTCTACTGTAGGATTTTGAGGGTATATATTCGGCACATACGGACGTCAGCATTTAAGGGCCTATGCCAGGGGCCCATAGTCCCAACCTCTTATTAAGGGCCTGATTGTTCCCTTTTGGTGTTTTTTTTTTCATAGGTAGGCGTGATACGGTGGGTACTTGAAATCATGCTTATGCCTTGGGAAGTATTCTATCTTAGCATATAAAGGTCATGCAGTCTGCTTAAGTGTTAAGTGCAAGTATGCTTGAGGGTGTATGTTTTGGGTTTTAGATGGCTTTGGGAGTTGTGGCAAATTGCCCCCTTTTGGCGGAATAGCATCGGATACTGGCTGGAGGAGCAAACGTGAGGACCCGGGTCATGCGAAACACATCAGAGTGATGCCGGGTGTTTTATGGAGGATGTACCTGTACAGTAGTTGCAAGTACCTCCAGTTTTTGGGTTTATACCTACTAAATAAGCAGTGAGTACTACGAAGCTGTGGGTACTTGGGGTTGCAAGTCACAATCTACACCCTGAGCTCTGAGGCACATTCCACAAGTATCCCTCATCTTGGTTGGGGGAAGTAGATGGGACACTTCTGTCAGACTGCGGCAGGGAGCAAGTTGAACACTAGGATGTAGAGTGTGCCAGTGGAGAGTAGGATATTGTTTGCCAGGATGAGGACGCCCTAGACCTCAAGCGACCTAAACTTCTGGGCTTTGAGTGGTAGAACCTTGCAATCAAGACTTGCATGTCTCATCTGAGTTCGGACTATCTTGGTCGCCTCGCATAAGTATTTGCATAATGGGCTTCTTGCATTTCAGGCCCTGATTGGTTTGGTCTTGACTGAAGTTAAGAGTTGTGTCTGTTAAGTTCTTGGCACATGCACTCGCTGGCTGCGGGACAAATCTCGCAAGACATGGGCCAAATTGCAAGCCACAAAACAAACGACATCAATGACACCGCCAACGACTCATCCTATACTCAAATTACTAATGCTGTCGTGCTTTTATGCATCCTTGAGGTTTCAAGCCCTGTATAGTCCTGTTTTCTCATTAGCTTAAGTTTGTCTTCTTTTTCCGTGCAGAAGTGTGCCGAACTTTGTGTTTTCTTCTCAAAAGGTCCAGATAACGGCTTTTGATATACAGGTTGATGAAGCAGCCTAAAATTTTGCAACTACCCTTTTCTCCAAGGGGGTTGACATCCTGGGCTTTGAGCCCGCAAAGCTCCAACCCCGAACCCTAAACCCATTTCAACCCCAAACTCCTGCACCCTTATTAGTATATAGCCCCAAGATAACCCTCAACCCTAAACAAGCCGTTTGGGTGAGAGCCAGGAAGGGTCGCGACCGCGACGGCTCCTGGAGAAGTGGTGGCTCTGCCGCTTGGCTGACAAAAACTAAACCCTACACCCTAATGGTAGCTTCCATTTTCGTTTCCATTGTCCCACTATTGTCCCTACAACCCTAGATAAATATACCTTACTAATCCCTGATCTACTATAGTAGCTTCCATTTTCTTTTCCATTATCCCTATATGACCCCTATATGGGTGGTTGTCAAAATTATGGTCCCTTTTTTAATACGGCCCCTAATATTTAGGGCACCCAAAAAGGGACCAGAATTTTGACAGCCACCCATATAGTACCGTATATTATCCCTGTATTGGGTTCCAGGCTTTTTGGGATGTACCCAGCCCAGACCATCTGGGAGCCCTGCCACAAGCAGCGCAAAACGTGGCTGGGGGGTCGCCGGGCTTGCGTGGAACTGCCGAGTTGTACCGAGGAACGTGATAAGGGGTCCGACTGTTTTCCGGGAACAGTCTCCGTGTCGGGCTTAAGAGCCTCTGGGGTCGTACGCATGAGAGGGTGCACACCCACAATTTGCAACTGACGAGATTGCAAGTGAAAGGGCTTCATGATAGGTTTCAGGGCAGAATCTAGTAGTATTTGATTAATTGAAGCAGGCTGCGGCTCAAATTTGGTCCCAGCAGGAGGGAAGAAGGACTGGACCATCAGGTTTCAGGGTTGAAACATATCAGCGCAAGAACGCCACAAAAAAAAAAAGAAAGACAATGGCAAGATTTCCAAGGCATCGCAGAATAAGGCAACCAGCAGTGAGCGTTTCTCGAAAGACCCCTCATATAATCCTGAATGGACACCCCCATGTTCTTATCATATTTTACCGTGACGTCTTATGCCAAGGTCCCCAATGCCTCCAGGGTACCCCTATTTGGGCTGAGAAGCCCCAGCGCTTTCATTGCAACAAAACAGAATCTCATGGCCTACACTCACTGACCCAATTGTCAGGGGCTGTCCGGCTCTCGTGCACTGTTGCTGAACCGCAACTACACGGAGGATCGCCCGTGCCGTTAGCGATTGACCCTCTACTCTGAATCGCTAAGGCATGAACATGCATGGATCGTCAGCACGATCATTTTTCTGGGTTGCTTTTCAGGAACATGTTTAGTACTATGACAATGAGGAAACCACATTATTTACTAAGACTATATACCCATACCCAGGTACTTTGAAGTAAGTTCCTTAACAGCAAGAGGGTGCTAGAAAGTTCCTGATAAGGAACTTTGGGCTTGGTTCGAAGTGGTGGCTTTCCTTCTAATTGACAGGAACTGCGATGGCCTGTAGGTAGCTGACATGCGTGGTCTTTCGGTGTGTGTCTGACTGATAGTGCTTGTGCGGAGGATCTGCCTCACATGCCTCGAAACGCAGCGACGGCCGCCAACAGCTCCTATCAGCCCCACGCTGGCAAGTCATAAGCACGTATCAGGATTTACAGGAGATGTTGAACAGTTAACTCCGGGCCACTCAGTCTCTCTGTCTGTCTCTCTCTCCAAACTGCAAGCATCTTAAACACTCCGAAAACGGTGCTGCACGTATCCGCTTGCCTTGGGCTCCAAGCTTGCAGCGTTCACATCCTGATTTGTTTATTCGTGAACAGATGCATTTTGTAAGGAGATTTGTGTGCCTGAAGCATTGCAATAACCCTGTTAGGAACCTACGTTTTATCTGGCTCTAGTCTAAGTAGGATGCGTCGGCACATCAGCGAACATTTTGGTGTCCAACGCATTCACCAGGGGATTTGGGGCCCTACAATTTCTCCTATTCTCTCTTTGGGTTCCATGGTGACTACGCATGCAGCATACTAGTATCCATGTTCTTTTGCATTTTCCTATATAACCCCAATAACTACACTACATAGTAGTTTCCATTTGCTTTTCCATTCTCATCATTTGGGCCAGCATCCTGGATCACACTGAAGTGAAGATCTTCCCTTCGTCGGGGGTTCAATTCAGTCCGTCGCTAACAGGGCATGCAAACCAGGAAAAAAGGCTTCCCGACAATTCCCTAAACCCTAAACTCCGTGGGGCTTGTTGGGTCCCTGTTTCCCAGGCCCGAAAGGGGGCCCGAACGATCTCGCTCCAGAT